CTACCTTGTTCTCAAAAAAGTCATAGGATTTAGGTTAAAAGGATAGGATAGGGTTTTAATTTTTTAGTTAGGGGAACTCGCCTTGGTTTTAAGTCACGTGCCTACGTATCCTCTTATGAGGAATCAGAGTCTCAATTTGTAGTTCGAAGTGTTTGGTTAGTCTTTTAATGGTCCGTGGAAATATTTTGAGTTAATCCTTGAACCAAGTCTGGGTTAAAAATAGCACAATCATAGACGCAGTTCGTAGTTAATATAAAAGATCTCCACAATCCTTTTTTAAAAATATCTTGATTTTATTATGTTAGTAGAAAAAGGGTTAGCATTTGATTGGTTAGCTATTTTAGAGTATGTTATGCCATATGTAAAAAAATAAATTTGAATGAGAAAAAGATTTAATGCAATTAAGAAATAGGGTTAGTGTTTTAGAAAATATTTAATTAATAAATAACTCTTTTCCTAATTATTAAAAATATATTAATTATTTTTGATAAAATATCCAATAATTATTTATTAATATGCAAAATTATAATTTCATGCAAATTGCTAAAAATATGATATATTCTAATTAAATGAAGAAAATAGAATAAGTTAATTAAAGAATTAAATTAATAAATTAATTAATTAAAGGATGGGTGTAAAAGTTAACAAATCAGAATATTTTTATGTTGGTTTTTGAAAATTGCATAGTTTCTAAATATGGAGACATTTTAGGAACCTAATGATTGAAGACCTATTATCTTAGAGAAGAATGTGCATACTTTGTGCAGCCTCAATGTTGTGGTTTTGAAGCCCAACCCAGTCCAGAATAATATTATAAATAGACTGGTGTATACCTATTATTTGGTGGAACTTACGTATGTATTTTTGTTAGGGGTTTTAGAATCCTTATTGTGGGTTGTAAGTTCTGTATCAGATGTTCTTTAGCTTTTAAGCATGGAACATTTGTGCGTTAGATGCTCATAAGTTGTTAAGCATTAAGTGTTTGTGTGTCAATTCTCATAAGATTTTAAGCATTGATTTTTTTGGGTTTTGGAAGAGTGACGTATGGTTTTATTCTCTATTTGTGTTTAGAGTTGCTCCAATTGCTGGGTGTAATTGAAGATGGATTTGAGGAGGTACTCGTACCTATGTGTTCCTTTGGTAGAAGTTAAGAAAATGGTAGTGATTAAGTGTGTAGGCTGTAATTTGGGATGTTTGCTGTGAGTTCTACAAATTGATACTATCTAGTTAATTTCATCCCTGGCTTGGTAGCCCCCAGAGTAGGAAGTTTATTCTGAACTGGGTAAACATATCTTGTGTTATTTTCTTTTAGCACTGTTTAATTTGCCTATATATCTTGTTGTGTGTGAAGTCGGATCTGGTGTCTCGACATCTCTTAGGACATCCGGGATCTGATAGCCAGAATTTCCACCTGGACGTTTTGGTTGTTTTTCTTTGATGACTTCTAAGAGATCATAATTACCATGAAAGGTTCTTGGGGTTAAGGTGAGAGACCTTTTGATAAAGAATTTTAGTGGGTTATGGTGAGAGATGAATGAAAAAATAAGGGTATAAAAAGTAAAAGAGAAAACTTGAACAATAAGAGAAATGATTTCCTTATGAAAGGTCATCAGACTAGAGAGACACAACAATAAAGGAATGGAAGGAGAGAAGGACAATTACAACTTCCAAGATACTTTATGAATAGTAAATCCGGGAAGACAAAACAGACATGGGAATAGGTATTTCGTGCTTATCAAGATTTCTTGTTGATAAAAGATGTCTCAGAGTATACCTTAAATAAGAGCCAATAAAATTTGTTGATATCTTATCTTAGTGTAAAAAGATATTTATATTTAGTCAGCATGTATTAAAATAAGTTAACGGGTAGAGAAACCATATTTTTTATTCATAAGTGATCATTCTAGCCTTGGGGCTAAAGGAATTAAGGTATTTAGATTTTACTTAGTTTTGCTTTCGTTACACCTTATTATTCTTCGACTAACAGGAATTTCTTTTCCTTTTTGTAGGGTGATCAAACTGGTACAACAACTTCCAGTATCAAATATGATATCCCCGTGAGCACTGGTTCCCCTTCTGTTCACCTTACATCTCAGAAAGGATCAAACAAAGGGTCCAACAACATTGTTAACCTTCTCGACAAAGTCCAACAAAAGGAACCACCCCATGATTATCCTCAAATAACTCAATCATCTGACTCCACAAGCGAGAGCAAAAATGGAGAACATGTTGAAATGGAAATCCAATTCAATGATGACCAGGGTCAAGAAAAGCCAGATAACTATTCACCCATAATTTCTCAACATGACAAAACTAAAATGGTTGAATAAGATGACACTTGTCCAACCTAGATCTGGAAACTTAAAATGAAGAAGATATTCAAAAAGAGGAGTCTCATCCAGAAGCTACAAGAAATCCTCATCAATCATTTGGGACCATAAAATATTTTAAGGCCCCTTAGAATACAACTACAAATCCTATCTATCAAGAAACATTAGATGACTTGAATGCCAATAATCCTTCTAGATATTTTAAGGAAATCATTAGTGTAAGGGAAAGTTCTTATGATAAAGGTACCAATTCTTTGACGGCCTCTGGAAGCCAATCCTCTTCTCCATCTGCATATCATCTCCTTTGACAAATCAGGGCAAAATCCTTTGATGTTGATTTACTTGATGTTATGGAAAACAACACTCTTGCTTATTATATTATCAAGGAGTTGGTGAAACAAGTATATATCCTAAATATTTTCCTAGAGGCTGCAGACATCATCGTCGACCTCAGATTCTTTCTGGATCAAGTTACTATAGATCTCTTGCGTAAGCAAGAAATTTCAACTAATATTGGAAACAATATGGAAACCCAAGTGGCGGAGTGGGATGCGGCCACTGAATCTACTAACAAAGTTGAAGAGCTAAAGAAGTCTTTTTCACAAAGAAAAAAATCAAAGATTATTCCACCGACATTTTTGCTTGGAAAGAACAAATGAAAATGCTGCGAGCAAATATCCTGAAAGCCAAGGCTCGCCATGAGTAAATTTCCAAACTTGATCGTAAGGAGCTTGATGAGGAGATCAAGGTGGTAGCACATTATTTAGAGAGGGAACAAAAGTTAGGAATCAAAATTGAAACTCTCACTCTGAGCCAGTCCATGATCGAACACAATTTATTAGTGTCTATCGAGAAGTAAAAACAAATGAAGGCTTCCCTTCCTACTGACTTATCACTCTTAATTTCTCTTTATAATTTTGAAGTTTTTTGGAATTTGTAACGCACAATTGAGCCATTTTTGGCAATCTTTGTATTACCATGTTTGGCTTTTCATTTTGCATTTTGATTATTCTACTAATATTTTAACTTCCTGAAGTATAGGTTTATATTTTTTCAAATAGTTCCATTTAATCTCAGAAGTATTTTATCTTCTACCAACACTTCAATCTCATAATCGTTATTCGAAAAGACTTGAATAAATTGGAATGGACCTTCCCAATTTGGAGACCATTTACCCAATGTTTTATATTTTTTATCCATAGGTTGGATCACTTTCCAAACCAAATATGCAATCAAAAAAACTTTAATCTTTAGCTTTTTATTATAAACCTTTTCCACTCTCTTCTTCTGTCTCCTTAACAATTCCAAGACATTTAACCTTTCATCGTCTAGATCAACCAGTTCATCTAACATCATGTTCCAATAGGACTATGATGGAATCTCATATTGTCTATGTACTCTGGTTGATTAGAGACAGATTTTGACTAGTAAAATTGAGTCATGCCCATAAGTCAATTGAAAGGGCGTAGCTTTGGTGGCTTCTTTGGGAGACGTTCTACAAGCCCTGAGAATTTGTTCTAAGGTCTTATGCCAATTTTTTGGCTTTTAACCACATGTTTCTTTCTTAGCCTAATCACTACCTTATTTACTGCTTCGAATTGACCATTTGCCTAGCATAATAAGGTGTAGATGTTAACAATTTAATCCCCACTTATTTAGAAAACTCTTGCATCTTTAGACCAGTGAAAATTGACCATTGATTAGTTGTAATCGTCTAAGGGATTCTAAAATTTTAAATTATGTTCTTTTGGATAAATTCAAGCACAACTTCTTGGTAGACATTCACCAAAGGAATAGCCTTAATCCATTTAGTAAAATAATTAATTCCCACTAAAATTTATCTTTAACCTTTAGGTGATGCTGTTCGAATTTTGCCAACCTAATCTAAAGCCAAACCTCTAAAAGGCCAAGGTTAATTTGATCAAATCGTGTCTGAACCCACTCTGATTCTTCAAGCTTTGTTTCCATTAGAGCTCGTAGCGATGAAATCTCTACTTCAACAGAGAGTACTGCCTCCATGCCATATACTAGAGATAAAGGAGTTGCACCTGCTGATGTACGTATGGAAGTACAATACCCATGTTGAGCGAAGAGGAGCATTTTGTGCCAATCTTTGTATGTCTTCACCATTTTCTAAGTGATTTTCTTGATATTATTATTGGAAGCAAAAGCAAGCGAATCGTCGAAAGAGGACAAAAGAAATGGAGAAGCGGGGAGTACGCATCGAGTAAGCTTCACCAAGAAACAAACAAAGTCAGAGACGATATCCAACTAAGATAAAAACAAACGCATGTTGTGAATGCAACACGTAATCATAAGTTCCTGCACAAATAAATACAAATAAATAAACACAAATTTTAAACAAGAGAATTAAAAGTGATTTAGGGTAACTGGGTTATCTTCCTCATTCATCAACGGCGTTTCACATCATCACCCTCACAATTCCGACGATCTCATTTCTCTTAGCCGCGACCGTTGTCCTTTCCGATTCACTCCTCCTCAACTGTCAACAAAACGAAATTAAACCCACGCATGGAGATACTAAATTGAAGTCGAAACAACAAGGAGAAGGGACCTTACCAACCGGAGAACGTCCGGTGCTTCTCCAATATTGTTGTGAAGAAAACGATTTCAAATATAATCTGGTAAGCTCTTTCTGTTCTCGTGCGTATGCAACTTCAATCTCCACTCCTATTTCTTTCTTTTGTTTCTGTTATACGTTTTAATACTGAAGCTTCATGTGGTTGTTGCAATGTTGATCGTCATTGTTGTATATTTGTGGTGATGATGATGACGATCGCAAAGATTTGGAAGACTGCATGGAAAGATCCGAGACAGACTGGACGCCTTTTTTCTAGTTTTTTGGTGATGGAGGATGGTGATTAAGAGGAGAAGAGTGAGTTGAGTGGTGACTCCTCAGAGAATTTTAGGGAGGTTGATTGTAGGAGGTGAATTGAGAGAAGAACGAAGATGATGGTGAAAGGGACCGATGAATGGTGGTTGGTGAGTGTATGAAGGTTTGTATAGAGAAAAATAATGAAGAGAGAGTTTCTGATGATTTTTCTATGATTTTTATAAAATGATCATGGTATCTGAATTGTGAATTCAGTATTTGTTATATAGAAGTTAAAGGCTTGAGAAGTTAGTTGCATGTTGAAGCTCTCAGAGCCATCAAATCAAGGATTCAGTTAGAAGATTGAGATTGAGCCACTTGAAGGTTAGTTCTCTATTTTCTTTATGTTAAGGATTCTATTATAGTTAGTTTGGTTGAAATTTTTTGTTTTCTGTTGAGGAGTTATGTTAGTAGGTTGTTGAAATTCTGTTAGAAGTTGGTTAGAGGTTTGAACAATTTTGTTACGGCTAGTCGAAATAGGAAGTTATGACAGTTATGGGATGAGCTGGAAAAATCAGTTAGTTAGAGGCGAATAGAAATTCCATTCTAAGTAGAAGTTAGTTAGATGGTTGTTATCCTTCTGTTTTTGTCAATTGATGCTAACCTGTTTTTTCGGTTTTTCTATTAGATGCAGTTAGTTTTTGATTCTATTGAGTTGAGCTGGAACAGTTGAAGTTAGTTAAAACTGGTCTCTTGTTATGTTAGCTTGGCTTGTTCAATTTCCTGCTATTTTGTGAATGACATAGGCTACTTATTGTCTTCTATTGCAAGTTTTTTCATTCTAAACTTGTGCTTGAACTGATGTAGTGATTGTAGAGTTTGAACGGGCTGTTCATTCATTCGTGTATGCATCGTGACTTGGAATGGCCTCTTGAAACATGATTGTTTATGGGAATATCTTCATGGTATTTGATTTTTTTTCCTTTGATTATGCGGGTCTGGTTTATGTTATAGCAACATGTTTTGTGCTTACTCATGGGATTCCTATTGAACTCTTTCAAAATGAACATGTAGAGTAGGATCAAAAGCGCTGCTTATCCTGGTGACATCTTTTATTCATTCAATCTCTCAAACATCGGCTTAATATTTGTCACCGTCAATATCTTACAACACAACACCTGATGTTTATCACTGAAATTTCTCGTTGGCATGCCGTTACCGGAACAAAATACCCCTTGGTTCGACGACATTTAAATCAATGCATCATGGTAGTTTTCCCTATTTGAGATATACTTAAAATAGTGATTTTCTTGAAAGCAATGGGCACCATAAACCAAGTGATGCCAATGACACAACCTTAGAATTGGAAATCTGTTAGAACAGTGAAAAAGGAATCCATGGAGAATCTTACTGAAACCAGCTTTGTTCTTTGGTAATTTGCCTTTTCTTTTGTTTCATTGTGACAACTTTGTACGGTCTCGTAGTGAGTTGTATAGACAAGTACTGTAGATCGAATCGCACTAGTGAACTATGTACAATGACCTTGAAATAATGAAGTCCCTTTATCCAAATCAACATCTTCTATCTTTGAATGTATGCATTGAAACGTAAGTATGTTTTTCCTATATGTCACTTGTGAAAATCTTTGAAAATAGTTAATGATTTGCACAATGTGCAAAGATAAATAACTAAAACAAATCACTCGCACATATCACTCTTAGGGTATGCCCTCACTTCGGTTGCCTTCGGTAAACGATCATTAAGTATAGGGTGTCTTAGTGGTTGCCCTCCTGTCTAAAAAAGATCAAACGTCCCATTCGAATGTTGCCTCGAAAATGTTGCCTTGAATATGATCTTAAGACTCTAGGGTTATTACTAAGACGTCCTAACATTGCTTTAGTGGTCGTACGTCCCATTCAAATTGACCCTTAAAACTCCAGTGACGGTGCTACCTATTTCTCAATAGTAGGATAGCGCTATCTAAAGGAAACGAGAATAGAAATGATCTTTTTTCGAGTAGGTAGATGCTAGTAGGTACTTACTCAAATCAAAACTTTTCACACTTACACTTTTCAAACAAACTTTCAAAACAAACTTCGTCACACCCTTGAGGACTGATACAAGGGTTATCACGAAGTCAAAACTTTTCAAAAACAAAGCACATACACAAGCAATTTTTAAAGATGAGCAAGTACCTAAGAGCCCATGGAAAACCATGGATAGAAAGGGTTCTAATACCTTCCCTTTCTATAATCTACCCCCCGTACTTAAAATCTCGAAAAAGGATTTTTTTTCTATACTTTTTTCCTTTCTGGTTGGATGAAATAAAAGTCGGTGGCGACTCTTGCTTACCGCAACATTTTGCGAATAAAAAAATGCAAAACGCAAACCAGTATTACAGTCGGTTCCGCCACCGTATCACAGAACAGGCGACTCTGCTGGGGACAAATAAGTGGGGTATACCTTAGGATCTATTTCATCATAATTGTTTCTCTTGATTGCTTTGTTTGCTTTAATTTTAAGGGTTTTTTGTTTGGGGTTACTATAGATCCTAACTCGGATCTGGGGATACCTTTTAGGTAAGTAGCAATAGACTGTGAGGGAACTGTACGGCATAGACCGGTACGGTTGAAGCATTAGCTACGTTGATGTGGCACATTGGTTGGTACCGGTATCCCTTGTGGAGAAACGAGCAGAATACAGGGCCGATGCATGGTGTCGTTAAGCATCAACTGACCTTAGAACCTTTAATCGCCCAGCTTGGCCATTAGAAAGTAGTGGGATAGCCGGCCTCGGTGTAAAGATGAGAACTAGTTGATACTCGATGCTACACTCATTGAGACCATACTCTCAAGATGGTTCCGGCCGAAAGAAAAGATTGCGTGAATTGAAACCATGACCGATGAAGGATGGTCAGTGATATTGAGATCCTCTAGAACCCAGTTACTTTTCTAGGACAGGTTTGAACCAACTTAACTTCAAGAGGGTACTACCTTTGACCTCATGCAAGCCTTAAACCTAAGGGCTTTGTGTGATTTGAATGTGTTTGCAATATTTGTGTTTGCTATACCCGTGGTTTACCATGACATCATGCATCATAACATGGCATTCATGCTTCATTACACTAACCATTTCAAAGACCAAAGGAATTTATCTTTGTTCTATTTTGCAGATTATGGCTTATGTGCGCAGAAATACCATCCGAGTCAACTTTGTGCAAATACCTGCCCAACTTAAAGAGCTGGCCTCATGAGTTTCTGAGACTTCTATGTTCATTAAGAGACATGGTCAACTTCTCAGCCTGGTTACTTCAAATCTTGATGAGCAGATGATGAGCGTACTATTTCAGTTCTTTGATCCCGTGCATCATTGCTTCACCTTTCCAGATTACCAGCTGGTACCCACCTTGGAAGAGTTCTCTCATATATTGGGCATATCCATCCTTGAACAGGTACCCTTCAACGGTATGGAAAAAGTTCCTAGACCAGAAGACATTGCCTCAGCTCTGCATTTGAAACGAGCTGATGTAATATCCAATTGGGAAACACGAAGCAGGGTCGAAGGTTTTCTAGCCAAATTTCTGATAGACCATGCTCAGCTATTCTGGGATGATTTGGATTTTCAAGCTTTTGAAGATGTCTTGGCTCTCCTTATCTATGGTTTGGTTCTCTTCTCGAATCCGGATTCCTTTGTAGATGTGAATGCTGTCAAGATTTTCCTTTCTCGTAACCCTGTGCCTACCTTGCTGGGAGATATCTTGCTTGCCATCCACACCCGTACTGTGAGGAGAAGAGGAACTCTTATGTGTTGCATGCCTTTGTTGTCGAGGTGGTTTATTTCACACCTCTCTAAGTCTATGCTGAAGAACGAAGAAGGTTTGGGTTGGTCGTACAGAATAATGTCACTTTCCCATACAGATATTCTTTGGTGTTCCTGGGCTATGGAAGACACTACCGTTATTGACCGTTGTGGGGGATACAATAATGTCCCATTGCTTGGAATCAGAGGGGGTATAACTTACAATCCTTGCCTAGCATTGCGATAATTTGGTCGCGCTCAGAGAGATGGTCCCCATGAGTTACTTCTTGAGGACATTGTATTTGACTATAAGGAGGATGTTAAGGAGCATCGCCGGAGGTTTATACGAGCTTGGGGCATGGTGAACAGATCTGACCCCCAAGAGTTGGGACCAAAGACTTCCCTTCCTATGCAGCCTTACCTCCAGTGGGTCCGAGCTCGTGCCCAGAAGCTTGGGATTCTCTATGGGGCCGTATTACCAGTGATTGTGGAGCCCACTAATGAAGAAGGCATTCCTTACATGGTTCTCTATCCTTACATGCCCACTGATCCTGGGGAGTTGCAGAGGTCTTGGATTCAGCTGAAGAATGAGCGGGATACTTACCGGGAACAGTACCATGAGCAAGAAAGGAAGCTTTTGAAGATCACCAGGAAGCTCGAGGAAGAAAGAGTGATCAATGACTACATCAGCACAAAGAGGAAGCGACCATGGGACTTTTGATTTTTTCTTTTTCTAGTTTTAGATTTTGTTTTATTTACTTCTTTGTAACGCCTTAAAGGCATTGTTGAACCTTTCAAAGTTAAGGTAATAAAGTTTTGTTTATTTTTTTGGTTTACAAATTTAAATCTCCCAAAGTCTTCAAAATCATTACATGCGTATCCCATTATCATACACATCATTCTAGGTACCATTACAGGTTTCTCATCTTTTTAGCTGTTTATTTCAGCAGAAATGTCTTCTGATCAAGCCATCAAAGATCTTCAGGCACAGAACGCCTAATTCCAACAGATGTTCATAAGCCTAGCTAAAGGGAAAGAGGATTTGAAGACCCTTATTCTGAAAGAGAAGAAGAAGAAGAAGAAGAAGAAGGTCGGTATTCTGAACATGGGTAGAAGATTCGAAGAAAGGTTGAGACAACCAGCTGATCTGACCTCCTCATCCAAGGACGGGGTGAACCAAGAAAGGGCAAAGGACCCTAGTCCTACAGTTTCTAATAATGATACAGATTACGACAATGAGCAATATCCTCCTGCT